GAATAATGAATATTAAATTTGAAACATTAATAAAATATGATACATTCAAAAAATAAAAATTATATTTTTTTAAAAATTGTTTAAAAAAGTATATTCAAAAACATTAAAATAATTTTTTGAAAAAGTAAAAGTCTTAACAATAACTAAATATCCAGGATATAAAGCATCACGCCACTATTACTATGCTCACGGTCGGGCGTAGCATGGCGTACCAAAAAGTAAAATCTTTATAAATTCTAAATGTTTAATCAAATTAGTTTAAAACCTTTTGATAAAACTTTATTAAACTATTATAAACAATTCTTCCGCTGGAAGTTTTTCCAATTCGAAAGTTCGTCACAGACTTTTTTCATTTGAAAGTATTAAATAATTTGTTTTTGCCTTTAACATAAATAAATTGATAAAAATGTTTGTTATTATTTTAATTTATTTATTTTTCATCTAACACTTTTTGGACACTTTGATGAGTAAAATTTGAAATTTGAATTTGAAGTCAAAAAGTCAAAAATCTTTAGATTTATGACGAGTTGAACATAAAATTGAATGAAATATTATGGTATCAAAAAATCAAGTTTTTTAAAAACTTATTTTGAAAACAATTCACTTTAAGAAAAAACTTTTTTGTGAAAACAGTTGCGTAATGTTATTTTCTACAAGGATATAATATTCAAAAATCAGAATTAAAAAACAAATTTTTTCATGTCAGGGGCTAACTTAAATCGCTGGATTTCAAGCGTATGCCCTTCTACGATCCGGCGGTTCATTTGTTAACTTTCAAATTTCTTTACGTCACACTCCACGATAAAGGAAACCTGAAATGCAAAAATATTTATTTAGAGTTATTTATTTATAAAAATAGATTTTGAGATGTTCTTTTACTCAAAAGAAAGTCATTGATTGTTTATATCTATAATTTTTTGTGATATTATGGATTGAACATATTCTGGCTGTGCATTTCTTTTATTTGAGTTTTTAACTACAATTTTTTTTCTTTACAGTAATACCATTCTTTTGGATTTACCACCTGAGAGTATTATTTTTTTAGATGAACATAGAAAAGCGTCACAGACAGATTTGGATAATTATTTAACAGGTGAAATTTTTAAAAATAATAAATAAAGCACATAAATATTTCTTATAACCGATTACTTCAATTAAATTGTTTTTTATAAACAAGTTTTTGTTCGTGATAATTTTTATCTTATAGAATTTTTATTTAAATGGATAACATATCATATTTATCGTTTCACCAAGTCAAGTTAAATAAAAACTTCACTTATTATTAATGTTTTGATAGTTGAGGGGCTGATAGTAAAAATGGTTTAAAATAACATTGGGAGCAAAAGTGGGATAAGTGACTTGGGAGCAAAAACGGGTTAAAATGATTCGTTTAATTTATTGATAAATTCATTATATTATCGATTAAAAAATATTAACAATAGGAAAAAATGCATATTTTATTATAATTAATATTTTTTAATCGATAATATAATGAATTTATCAATAAATTACACGAATCATTTTAACCCGTTTTTGCTCCCAAGTCACTTATCCCACTTTTGCTCCCAATGTTATTTTAAACCATTTTTACTATCAGCCCCTCAGTTCTGCTATCCGTACAAAAAACAATTATTACGAAATTTATTAAAAAATATGACCAATACTTGTTTAATAAATATAAAAAATATGTTATCTCAAACCATTTCTTAAATTAATAATAAAAATTTATTATCAATTTAATCGATTAATCTGCTTATAAATTCGTTCATTTCTATCTATTGGAATCTCCATGATTTTATGCGATAAATATTTGAATATTCCGAAAATTTTGAGGTTAACTGTCACATAATAGTGTCACATACATATAAACACTTAAAGATCAGTCCTACCAACCTATGCATAAATTATACGACGAGAATGCGAAGATGCCACGATTTAAACCACTTTTTCAAAAATTTATTTAAATAGAATTTATAACATTAAAGTAAAAAAAAACTTATTATCTATTTTGAAGCCATTTTTAATCGTTTTATCTCATTAATAATGTAACAAACTGTCTTTTTTAATAAAAAAAAGTTGTTAATTTTTTTTTTCTTTTGTTGCACAACTTGCGGGCTTATAAATTGACAGAATGGGAACAATCCCCTTGCTCTGCACCACCCGCGGGACAATCCTTAATTAACAATTATTGCTAAATCTTTCCACATTGGGGCAAAACCCTGAAAACGTGCCGAAAACTCTAAAATTAAATTATTTTTTAAAAGTATTTGATGTTTATAGCATTATTCTCTGATCTTTTCTGAGTTAAAAATCACATTTTATAGAGATTAGAAAGATAATCTTATCCTTATATAGTTTGTTGACTTTATAAAGCTCAAATTTTATTATTTTTTTAATTTTCTAAATTGAAGTCCTCTCATGGAAAGTACTGGAATACATTTGCATAATTTATAATTAATAATATCAATAATAAGAAAAACTCTATTGGATTTTCTATTCTATTCAACTAATATTACAGTTATTAACACTTAAAAATTCAAAATGACGGATCTAATATGATGGGCAAAAATTGAAAAATATTCAATTATTTTTAACAAATCTTGGAGTAAGGCGGTTTTTTGCGTCACTATATATAATTACCATTCTACAGTAAAACCGATGAAAGCTCGCAAAAATTTGCAAGCTGCGCAAGTAAATTCTAAAATACCTACGCCTGCGCAATAAGTTTATATTCTTCGGATATAACGTTCAATGTATTTTGAAAAATAAATCATATACACTACCGTCAGAAATTGGCGGTACGGCTGACGTGCGAGGAGTAGAAATTTGTTGCTGACTTTAAAGCAAGATATTTTATAAATTTCTGCTTCTCAATGTATATCAGGAAAATTTTTTTCTTTTTTTTTGGTATTTATTACACCGAAAAGATTTCAAGTAAAAATTATGTAATTTTCTTTAATCTTTAAGTTTTTAGCTTTAATTTGCTTTTTTGAAACTTCAAAAATGTTTTGTAGTTCCTGAAATATGTTAAAAAATGTTCGAGAATGTTTTTCTATAACCCAGCAGCGAGGCGGCGAAAAGTGATGATTGACGGCTGAGTTGTAGGAAAACATGCTCGGACCTTCTTTGACATATTTCAGGAACCACAAAACATTTTTTAAGTTTCAAAAATGCAAATTAAAGCTAAGACCCTAAAGATTATATTGTAAAATTGTCAAATTTTTCCATACATTATTCTAGATTATGCCGGGAGTCAAAAAACATTATTACGATGAGTAATTTTTTGCAAATGTCAAATTTAATTCAGTTAAATTGAAAATTTAAACTTTCCTAAAGGATAATTTGATTCCCATATATGTTTCGGTCAATTTTTTTTGTTTTAAATTTTAAATTTTTCTTTCATGACATTTAAGTTGTATAATTAATAACAAGCCCTTTTTAGGTTGACATCTCAAAAGAAAAATAATTTTTTTACGTTGTTTGAAAAATTACGACTGTAATTTTTGTTTTGTATTCTACTAATAATAGGTCTTTAAAATAAAATTCAATTTTCAATTATACCAAAATAATTATATAATTTTTAGAATTTTTAAATTTAATTATTTGTTTAAAGTCATTCTAAAAGTAATTTTTTTTAAAATAATATTTTCAATAACAGAATAATAATAATTGTAATAATAAAACCGCTGCCAAGTTGAAGTATGTATTTTTGTGTTCATTCCATGAACACTTTGCTTCCTCATGGAGATATTTTGCGATCAGTTTACGATTTTTTATTTATATTTATTTATATAATAATAAGTAAAAAATTAATCTAATTATAATGATTTTACAGATACATAAAGATTTTTGAACAAAAAATGCAAACAGGTTTTTATCAATATTATTTATTTTTAAAATGTCAATAACTTTGGATAAAGTAATCGTAAAATGTTCGTTAATAGGTCAAAAGATGCGTTTTGAAAATCTCTACAAAATGAAACTAAAAAAACTGTAGGTGTCATAACATTTTTTTAAAGTTATGAGCAAAAAACGATTTTTTATGATTTTTAAAATGTCAATAACTTTGGATAAAATAATCGTAAACTGTTCGTTAATAGGTCAAAAGATGCGTTTTGAAAATCTCTACAAAATGAAACTAAAAAAACTGTAGGTGTCATAACATTTTTTTAAAGTTATAAGCAAAAAACGATTTTTTATGATTTTTAAAATGTCAATAACTTTGGATAAAATAATCGTAAACTGTTCGTTAATAGGTCAAAAGATGCGTCTTGAAAATCTCTACAAAATGAGACTAAGAAAACTGTAGGTGTCATAACATTTTTTTAAAGTTATAAGCAAAAAACGATTTTTTATGATTTTTAAAATGTCAATAACTTTGGATAAAATGATAGCAGATTGTTCGTCAATAGCTCAAAAATGCGTCTTAAAAAACTCTACAAAATTAAGTAAAAACATCAACACTTGGTGAAACATCAATATTTCTACTCCTCTTACGTTAGCCGTACCGACAATTTCCAACGGTAGTGTATATTTAATATTTATTTAAAAATCGTAATTACTCTTCCGTCTTCCAGTCAGTTTAATTAAAAAATTTCAAAACTAATTAGTCGAAATAGAATTATTTATTTTATTTATTATTCCATTAATAATAAATAATTAACGAAATTGGTTACTTTTTAAAATAAAATATTCGAAAATGTCTTTCACGATTTTGACCAATCAAAAAGCGTCTTTATAAAATAATAACAATTTTTTTGATTATGGTGTCACCTAAAATGACATTCAAATTCGTAATCAGCCACCTAAAAAAACCTCTAAAACTCATTTTTATAAAGATCTATTAATTTTTTAAAAATTAATCAGCAATTTTGGATCCGACATTTTGAATTCTTAAAAACTGACTTCAAATTCATAATCAGCGCCCCCAAAAACGTATAGATATCAAGTTTTGTATAAATCGACAAATGATTTGAGGTTTTTGACAGGTTTTCAGGCTTATGCCGTACTGTGCTTCCCCTATTATTTTTTTCAATTATTACTTTAAAAAAATCATTCATGTTAAAATTTTCCAAATACAGATTTACATTTAAAGCCTACTGGAAATGGTACAAATTCGCTATCTCTTAATCATCATGAATCTCATTTTGATGGTAATGCAGAATTCATTGAGTCTGAAGTAGATGTGAGTGATGTTGAATTTGATGATGAACACGATGTGTCTTATGATCCAAATGATGATTCCAACACAGAATCTATATATTCTGTTGACGAAACGGTCAAATCTTTTAACTCACAATCCGAGGAAAATCAAGATCAATTCCAAAAATCACATAATGATAGTAATGTACAACTTAAAAATGACACAGGCACAGCGAATACATCAGCAAAGTCTTCGAGTCCAAACGTTTCTGCACTGGATGACAGTAGTATGTTGGTATATACCTCAAACAAAGGCTCAAAAAAATATTTCTGCATTTATTGTAAGAAGTTGAAGACAAAAATGGCAAGACATTTGGAAATGGTGCATAAAAATGAAGACGAAGTCAAAAAGTTTACCGTTCTCCCAAAAAACAATAAGGAAAGAAAAGCAATAATCGAAACAATTGTTAATAAAGGATCTCATATGTACAATACATCATCAGTATATAATTCAAATAATGAACTTATAGTTTCACGAAGACCTAACATAAAATTCGAAAAGAGCGCAAGTGATTTTGGAGCCTGTAAATCGTGCAAAGGTTTCTTTTCAAAAGGAAGTTTAAGACATCATGTCCAAAAATGCACTGGAATTAATCACAAAAATGATCGCCAAGTGTTAGTTTTTTCTAGGAGAATAATCGGAAGAGTACATGAAGAATGTAATCATACCTTGGCTAAATATATTTTTCCTCGTATGAAGGAAGATAATGTCGTACGTAAGATCAGATACGACAGATTAATAGCATTATATGGAAATACTTTGTGCGATAGATATAGGACGTCCGCTCACCATCAACCTTTCATTCGTAGTCAACTTCGTATAATAGGTCGATTTTTGTTAGAAGTTGATAAGTTATTAAATCGCTCAATTTCGTTTGAAGAAGTTATGGATCCAGAGCATTATAGAGTAGTTGCTGTAGCAGTTGAAAATGTTGCAGTTCTTACTGAAAATAAAAAATATTATAAAACGCCATCAAATGCTTCAAACTTGGGAACTATCATAAAAAAGGCAGCAGATGTATTGATTGCCGATTGTATCGAGAAAAAAAATCCAGAAAAACAGAAAAACGTTGAAAATTTCTTAAAACTTCTTACGACTAAATTTTCAACGACAATAAACAAAACAGTTTCGGAAACTCAAATGAAACAACAAAGAGAGAAACCTATTGTACTTCCATCAAAATCTGATATTAATAAATTTAATTTGTTCATGAAAAGAAAGCATGAAGCTGCTGTAAAAGCTCTCAAGAATGAATTTTCTTATCACAACTGGCTCGAACTTATTAAAACTAGTATCATATTAATCATTACGTTTTGTAGAAGACGACCAGGAGAAATCGAGAGAGCAACAATTGCAGAATATCGAACTTATGATGCTTTAAATAAAACTGTGAACAAGGACATTTATAACACGTTATCTTCTCGAAATAAAGAAATTGCAGAAAGGTACGTTCGTTTCACAATAAGAGGAAAAAAGAATCGCCAAGTTCCAGTCATTTTGAGTAACATTGTAGTTGAGGGCATCGAATTAATCTTAAAATTTCGACAAACTGCAGGAGTTCCTACAAATAATGAGTACATATTTGGTTTACCGTCTAAATCAATAGGAGATGTAAAGTATATTAGAGCTTGTGAATTAATGAGAAAATACACTTCGGAATCGGGAATTTCTAAACCAAAATCTTTAAGAGCGACGAAATTAAGAAAACAGGCAGCGACAGAGGCAGTTGCTCAAGAGTTATCCGATAACAGTATTTCGATGTTAGCTGAATTTTTAGGACACTCAGAGAAAGTTCATAAAGACCACTATCGACAGCCAGTCATTGTTAGAGATGTAGTACAAATGGCATCTTTTTTTGAAGAAGCAATGAAAGTCGATGATTATAGCGATTCTGAGTTAGATTCCGAAGGTAACTCAGACGACTCAGACATTAACGATGTACCAAACAGTAACAATGCTCAACTAGAAGCAACCTCAAACAACGATTTTGATAAAAATATTGGAAACAACTCTGAAAATGAATCCTCATCTGATGGTATGTGATATTACTTTAATCTAATGAAAAATCATTATATCCGAGTTAATAAATAAGAGTTTTTTTTTACATTTTCGACTTTGCTTATTAGTAAATAGAAAAAGAAATGTACGATTGTCTTAAGGGGTTACACCACTATAACCACTCGAAAATTAGATGCTTCTTTAGAATTTTTTTTTTTTATTTATTTATATTTAGTACATACAAATCAATGCAAAAAGAGCCATTTTTCGGACCACGTTTTCAAAAGCTATTTAATTTATTGCTTTGGGTCTTGTTGCATTCAATCAAATAGTTACAAGACTTCATTTTTAGTATATTCAGGTAAAAATAATGAAAATTAGAAATTTTGAAAGTGTTTGAAAAATGTATTACAATTTTCATAATTTTTTTTAGTAGTTATGCAAAAAAAACATCCTTATTATCATGATATCTTCTTAAATGTTGGTCCATATATTTTGTAATTTCATAAAGAATAAAACTACCAATTTTGAATATAATCAGTAAATAACTGTTTGAGTTAGACGTCTTGCAAATATGAAAAATGTTATTTTGAGTTAAATTCGTTTTAAAAAAATTACCGAAAAATAAAAATTTAAAGAAGATAACAATAAAATAAAGTTGTTAACGATTAATTTGCAATTCAGTATCATATTTTAAGCCTTTTTACAAGACTAGATAAGTAAAAAAAACAATGTGCTACGTCCTACCGGCGACGCGATCCAGTTAGTAAACTATGTATTCGTTTAGCACTTGGTTTTACGATTATAAAATGTAAAGGAATGTGAATTTCACTTTAAAACTTTGAGAGCTTATTTTTTCATAGTTAAGCTAACGATTTATGAAATTAAAAATTACCGATTTTTTTTTAAAACCTCCTAATGCGGTTTCCCCCTTAAATATTAAAAAAAAAATAAAAATAAATTATAGATCATTCTATTATTCTAATTAAGATTTTCGGAAAAATTTTTATGATGGAATAAAAAAATGTAAATTAATTTATCCTAAAATAGCACGTAAGCTTGCAGCAACCTTGCGGCAAGCTTACCGCGCAATATTGCCAACCTTATTCGGCAAACTTGCCACAAGGTTGTTGCAATCTTGCGTGCTATCTGGGTAAAGCTATACAATTTGTTGTAAAGATTGTACCATTCAAGTAGTAAAATAATGATTTAATTATTTATAATTTATTTCAGTGTTACCACCACCTGTGAAGGTTGCAAAACTGAGCAAATCAAAATCAGGTTTGTTATTATTTTTGTATCTTGTTTTAGTTTATGATATTATAAATTAGTCATAAATACTATTTTTTCGCAATAATAACATTTATAAACATATTTACTTTTAAAGAAATGAAAAAAATCAAATATTTGAAACAGATAAATTGAGACAGTACTTTATTTTGACTAATAATTTTAAATATTGTTCAGAAGCAAATTCGGTTTTATGGCATATTTATATTAAACAATAAACTAATAAGTACATTTATTTTTATTACAGGTACAACAATTCAACCAAAGAGCGAAAAGCGATCATGGAGTTTGAAAGAAAAAAAAATTGTTCTCAAAGCTTTTTCAATATTTTTAAATGATAGTGATAAAAACAAATTACCTAGTCTTAGCGAAATAAGAAAGCTAATAAGAAACAATAGTATCCTCGAGCATCGAAGTCCAGCTTCTATAAAAACGTGGCTGCACAACCAAAAGAAGATGAACAGGACCGAGGCCGATATTTTCAACTCGTAAATATGTAATGCAACATTTTTTAAATTTTATATTTAACATATTGGAAGCCAAATCTTTTCGCAAAGTGTTATTTTGAAATTAGAGGTAAAAATAAGAAAAAAGCTTTTTATTATAAGGAAAAAATTAACTATTTATAATTTTGTTACTCCAAAGATTTAATCCAGTGAAGAAAAACCACATGTTCCTAAGTATAACGTTAATAAGTTAAATGTATATATATATATATATATTTTTTTTTTTTTTGCGAGCACGAAACAATTTTTGATTATCATTTCGTGTCGTTTTCTTGTGGGTTCATGGTTTTAAGATATTGTTCTAAAATTTACGATATATGTAAAAAAATAAGAAATGTACTATTTTAACAATTGTTATATACCTGAATATTTTTCGTTTTTATTTTAATAGTTAAAATTATAAGACTGAATATGTTTTATGTATCGCGAGACAAAACAAATGTTATTCATTGTGTTTCTAAGCATTGTTATAAAACTTACGATATTTTTTAACAAAAGAAAAGTATTCCTTTTAAAATTGTTTTGTTCTTAAATATTAATGCGTCTTTATTTTATAATGGTACAAATTATAAGACTGAATAAGTGTTATTTTTCATGAAACCAATAAAAATTAAAACCTTAAAATTTTTTAAATTTCATTTATTTATTATCCATTTATTAACAAATTTCATGAAAATAAAATAATAATTTACTTCAATTTTTATAAAGAACATGTAGGGTAGAAGCGGGAAACTTGGCGCACTGTCACTGACTACTTTAGCAGGTAAACATTTGTTTAATTGTTTGTTAATTAATAAAAGTTAATTTATAAAAGAAAAATAAGCAGAGAATACAACTAACCAACTCAAACCACTTTAGAAAAAAAGGTAAAGATGCAATCTTTACTTGATTAATAATTCTTTTTCATAAAGATACTTATACTGTTTTTTAGTACTTTTATGTTGAAAATATTTTCCTTTCAAAATAAACATTCTTTTGATTTTGAAAATACAGATATTTTACAAATAGAAATTACTACATGAAAAGGTAAATATTTATAAATGTTCTATATCCCAACAAAAACATCTTCGATGCAAAAAGTTAGGCCATCTTTAACAGGTTTTAATGGGTTTGGTTAAATTTTTTTTCACATTTTGCTAAAATATTTTGTGTTTTTTTAAAATTAAAGTTAATGAATATAATAATAGTATTCCCTGCATTGAAACGAATCGATTCGTATATATAAAGTATATGTTACACCCAAAATTAATTAAAATTTTCTTAATTTTTCAAAAAATTTAATTAATTTAAAACACTTTTCAACTAAATATTCCGCCTATGTGACATATGAGCCGCCGAATATTATAACGACACATAAAATTTCTGCAACCTAAATTTTACATAAAATCACTTTTAATTAAAATTTTTACTTTAATTCGTTCTAAAATGAAAAGTTTTGAATATTTTTGCATTAAAATTTACAGGAGTTATAGTTTAAACTATCCTTTAAATTATGCTTAATAATAATTTTTCATTTTTTAATTAGAAAAAAAGTTATTAATTTTTTTATTGCTGAGTGTTAGAATAGGACTTTATATTTTTCAAACGCTTCGTTTATGTAGGGAATTTTCCTTAAAGACAAATTTCCTCTGAATAAAATGTTTATTGATACACAATAAAGATTTCTGTAAAGTTTTATTTTAATAAACATTTTTTTATAATCAATAAACATTTTATTCAGAGGAAGTTTATCCTCAGAGAAAATTCCCTAGATAAACAAAGCTTTTGAAAAATATAAAGCCTTGCAGCACTAAGCAACAAAAAAATTAATAATTTTTTTAATTTGAAAATAAATTATATAACTAAGGCAATATTTCTTTTTACCGTCTGATCAAAAAACATTTTTAATCCAATTAAATTATTGATTAATCAATAGAAATATATTTCTGTCAAAAAATGTGGGACGCATGTATAAACTTTATAACAAATTTTGTAGAATTATGATTTGATATAATCTTATTCTGTAAAATACTAATTTTGCAGAATATTCATAATGTTTTAGAAAATGCAAATATGATCAAAAATTAATTTGACAGCTTTTTTATTGAGACGAAAATTAATTTTCCAGAAATTCAATTTAACCGAATTTCGAGAATTCGAAAAAATGAAAATGGTCGAAATTCAATTTGCCAGAAATAATTCGGCGGTAACTTCAAATTTGACTAATCAGCAATTATCCAGAATATTAAAAAAAATCAAGTAAGTACCCCAATACTGTGGGGTAATGGAAAAAAATGTATTTTTTTAGGAAACATTTGTTTACAAATTTATATTTTCTTAATTAATTAAAATTAAAGATAAATAACAAATAATTATTTATTAATGATAAAGTTTGGCCTACGAATTCTCACTATAGTATTCTTTGGACTTTTTTCATATTTTACATTGATCAATATAATCTCAACAAGAAATAGGTTTCTATTTATAAAGTAATACAAAGTACATCAATTTCAATTATTATTAGTACTAAGTAGTTAAAGCTAATTAGCTTAGTTCAAATGTTAATTATGTCCTCGAAGAACTCTTTCTCCACTAGATTAGTATCTATATACGTGTCTCCAAAGTTATCTCTGTATTGTTTATATTCCTTCAACTTTTTTTATATCAATAAATTTCCATTAATTTAAAAATACGGGTACTTTAAAGTAACATTATATGCATAGATAATGTCAGTTATTAAATAACAATCTACATTTTATATTAAAATGAATGTCAATTCGTGTCCCCAAAGTACTCTTTCTCAACTACATTAGTATCTATATACGTGTCCCCAAAGTTATCTCTGTATTGTTTTGATTCCTTCTACTGTTTTTTTTATATCAATAAATTTTCATTAATTTAAAAATACAGGTACTATAAAGTAACATTATATGCATAGATAATGTCAGTTATTAAATAACAATCTACATTTTATATTAAAATGAATTTCTATTTGTGTCCCCGAAATACTCTTTCTCCACTACATTAGTATCTATATACGTGTCCCCAAAGTTATCTCTATATTGTTTATATGCCTCCAACTGTTATTATTTGAATATGTCTATATTTTACATAAATTCATATTTAAAATTAAATTTTTTTTATTTGTTAAAAAGTTCAATCTTTTATTTTAATTAAAATTATTATCATTAAATAATACTTTTTTTTATTTAAATAAATTTCTATTTTTCTCCTCGAAGTACGCTATTCACATTTCATTAGTATCTTCAT